CTGGGCTCAAGAGCTCATATTAGAGCCACCCAGCTGCACACTCTTTCCTTGCCTAGACCTCTCCGTCTTTCTGTGCTCAGCTGGGCAGACCAAGCCGTTCTCCAACTGTGCAGTGCTTTGCATTTTGTTTTACTGTGCTGTTTAGCCAGAGCCACCTATGTTCAGTGCTTCAGTTGCAGGAGCAGGGATGGGAGAGCTGGCTGCCCCCACAGCTCCTGCAAACACCCCTGCAGGGCCACGTGGTACCTTGCACTAGCCACATGGTGGGCAGCTGAGCTCCAGAGGTTTATGCAGCCCCATTCCCTCTCAAATACATCTCTCCCTTTAAAAAGTTGGAGGGACTCCATTAAGAACTCTTTTCCTTTTATGTCTCCTTGCCCCATCTGTGATATTTATGTATTTATTTGATTTATAAAACCATGTCCAATAGTCCCAAGCAGAACTACTGCGGGGAGGGAAGAAGTGTGTGTGTGTGTGGGGGGGGATAGTCTAATTCTTGACCAGGTTGACTCAAATTATATTGTTTTTATATTGTGTTTATTTATTTATTATTGTGAGCCGCACCTAGGCTTCGGCAAATGGGGTGGCATAGAAGCCTCGTAAATAAATAAATAATATATAAATTCCCTTCTGGAGCACAGTGGCCCCGATCCAGATCAGATCTGTACATGCTTGCAAGAGGAAAGAGAAAGACCAGGCTTGGCTGCCCAATTTGCATTTGGCTCTCAGAAGGCTGGCAGCCTTCTAACACTGGTAAAAATTGGAAAATTGGACCCTCCCCACCCACTAATAATTTAAGTACCATTAAGCACAACAGGCACTGCTGAGTCATCTTGGATTTTCATGTATTGACATGCAGGAGAGAAAACCCGTTCAGAAACCCAAAGCTGTCGGGGCATCTGCAACACGGATGCTGCTGCCAGACGTGATGTCCTCTTGAGTCATTTCTGGCAAGCCCCATAATGTTGAGCCTGCCCTAGCTCTCTAGTTCCCTCGTTTCTCACGCCATGTCCCTCGAAACTAGCAACATGTCACTGGAAACTGAAATGGGTCTGTATGCATTTCCTAAGGCATCAAGGCATGTCTATGTCTCCTTGGGGGATAACATTTGGATTCTTACAAAATCCTACAAAATCCTGTTATTTCTTCATGTCTGTACCACCCTTAGCCAAAGCTCTCTAGGCAGTTTACAGCAATGCAATCTAATCTAATCTAATTCAGTCTAATTTACTTAGATTACTTGTATAAACCATTAGATACTTCTGTCAGTCCTTTATGGGAGCTCTGGGAAGCAGGAAGGGTTAAAAAGAAGGGAAATCTGCTTTTCAGTGTAAAGAATCTGCAAGGAGCAAAGCTTTCCTCCTTGTTCATGTCTGCACAAGTTATAATCCAGAAAGACAGCCCACCAGCCACGTATTCTATCCTTGGTGGGACACATCTAGGAATATTTTACGCAAATAAATAAAAGAAAATCAACATGCTAGTATAGACCACACCTTGGGCAATGGCATTTCTCGTTTACTCTTTTTAGACCCTGCCATGTATTATTATTATTATTATTATTATTATTATTATTATTATTATTATTATTATTATAACATTTCTATGCCGCTCCTTGCCGAAGCCTCGGGGTGGCTTACACATTGCTGAAAAGGAGGAATTGCTTCGCCAAAAACGAGGACCCCAGTTTGCATTACAGCTCTGTCTGTTAATGTTACTTTGGAAAGAATTGTGAGCTGGGAAGAAATGCTAAGCATCCCATGGTAGTGGACAAGGCCAGGGGACTTCTGGACAGGTGCTCTAACTAGGGGGCGACTTTGGGGCCACATCCTGCTCCCCTCCTGTCAGGCAGAGCATTCCTGGAGAAGCTGGGGAATGGAGGAAGTCATGGCTGAGGCTACAGCAGAAAGCGGTGGGGGCATATCTCCTTCCCTCCTTCCTTTTGTCCTGGACCCTTTGAAAAAAAAACCCTAGCATTGATTTCCACTGGAGGGGAAATAATGATGCCAGCTCTGGCACTGACCTTTTTCTCCCTTTTTTGGCTGGGGGAGGGGGCATGCTGTGGCAATGGGGAGGCTTTTGATCTTGCAGTCCAGGTCTGCCCCCCATCTGTCCCCACCACCCACCTTTTCAGCCCCTAATGCAATAGCAGAGGACCGGAGTTGAAGGAAGGGACAGGAAGCTCTTTCATTAAGTGCCCCAAAGCTGAGCACACTGGTTCTTGCCATCCACACTGGTTCCATGAGAGCATCCCACACAGGGATGTGTGAGGAACCCATTACAGGGGAGGGAGCCTTTCAGATGGGCTCAGCTGCCTGGACTCCAGTCCACTTGAATGCAGCTGCGAGTTGGAGTTCCTGGCGAGCCCCAAGTTCCAGGAGTTGAGCCCTGTGCAAACACTGTGTAAGCAGCTTCCCTCACCCATGTCACACACAGCAGCCTTGGTTTGCTGGCTGCGCAACCTTTTGCAGGCTTCCTCTCAGCTTGGCTCAGGGCTGAGCATCCAAATCCATGCATGGTAGAGCAGAGGGCCGGATTCCATGAAACTTCAATGCATCCCAGCACCCCCACTGCCCCGGGGGCAGCAGACTAGCTTAGATATTGACAGGTAGGCCACAGAGCACTTAGCTCCGTCCTTACCACCACCACTTCTCAGCCCCAGCCTCAGCAACCTGTCTCACCCTGCCTAATGGTAGGGCCGGCTCTGGTAGCTTGTAGAGGCATGTCCTTCCTTGTTTCTTAGAGGTTCCTGTTTCCCATCAGGACAGCCTGAGTTGCAATCCAGTGCAATTTATTAGTCATACCTTTCCCATCTGAACCATAAGATCCTGCAAAATGGAAAGTTAGAGCAAGCCTGAATAAGAGATTTTATGAAAATTAGGGAGCACTAGGAGATCTGTAGAAACCTATGGAATGCAATGGTTTCCTTGCTAGGAGTTACGTCTGATCCAGGTGTGCCAATTGATCTCTTAAATTGGTGGCCACAGAGTGCCGAAGGGGTTAAAGCTGGCTTGCAAGCAAGCTAATGTTGACCCTTTTCATGCTCCACAGCCAACAGAGATGCCTCTTCCCTCTCCAAATTCCCCATTAGGCAATGTGGCAGAGACCTCCTGTGTCCCCTGGGCCACGGTTTCCAGCCCTGCTGCAGTTTAGCTCAGTGGCTTTCAACCACTGGTCTGCAGGAGGTTTCCGGGCAGTCTGAGGGAGGGCTGCACCCAGCTTGCTGCAGACCAGTGCAGGGGCTGGCTGTGTCCCACCGCCTCTTCCTTGCTTGGAATTGCATTTGCAGGGGGTACGCCGGTGCTGCCAGGGAGGGGAGAGACATCTTGGTGGGAGCTGGCCAGGAGCCCTGCCTCGCTGATTTCAGTATGTTGTTTTTTTTTGTTGCTCGGTTTCTGGTTGTTTTGGAGATTTTTTGTGGGCGTATTGTGTTTGGAAACAAGTACACAGAATACAGTATTACATGTATGGTGCTTTTTGTTTCTGCCTTGGCGGTCCCTGAGGCCGTTTCCCCATTTTTGCCTGTCCCCAGCTGTGGAAAGGTTGAAAACCACTGATGTAGCTTGAGTTCCTGACCTGAGAGATACCTGGTGGGGTTCCAATGCCCCTGCCCCTGCCTGGCTGTGCCACTGCAGAAAGACCAGCTGTAAGATAACCCAGACTTTACTTGATGGGCCAAAGCAAGCTGGGCACTGCTTGAGAATCCCAGCAGACTCCCACAGCCCAGGCCTGACAGCTAAAGTGGTCTCAGTCACCAGCTCAGTCTCTGGCTGCCTGCTCTCGTGCCCTGGAGCAAGCTGGGGCGGACGAAGCTGGGGGAGAAGCTGTTGCTCACGCATCTGGGTGGAACTGTCTTGCAAGCCGTGTGTGGATAGATTCCCTCTGACTTTATAGAAAATTGCTGATTCCCTCCCTAAGCCGTTGGGAATGGGGTGGGCTGGACATATAGCTTAAATCATAATCTATATCCTGTTTTCAAACACACACATGGGCTGCACAGATGGATGGGGGTTTGCCCAGACAAGCCAAATGGGATGTTAGCCGCCATCGTGTAAATTGCTATTATCCATTATTATCTCTAAATTAAGACTGTCTTTTTTTCTGTCCATGTATGGCTGATCTTTATCTCAACAGGGTATTTCCACCACGTGTGCTATTTCTCTTTGTTTCAGGTTTGGGGTTTTTTTCTTTCTTGGAAGAAGGTATTGGTGGGGGTTTCCTTTTCGCATCTGTTGCCTCAGTACAGAAAGGGGGTGGGGGAAGAAAGTTATACAGGGTGGTGATAGCTTGTGCCTCAGGCAGAAGAGCAATATAGCAGAACGGCGGCTAGACAACACGACAGAGAATGGGCTGGGTGTGCAGAAACGCACGCACTGTTGACACGGAACAGATGAGTGCATGTGCAGAAGTGTGGGGAGCAATCGCAGGAGCTTGTTGCTGTCTTTTAGCTGTATTTTTATGCACTGCTTTATGATGGTTTTAATATAGTTTTACTTATGATCATAAGCTTGTTTGAGTGCCATTTTTCTTGGTAGGAAGGCAGGGCACAAATCAATCAATTCATCAATACCTACAAGAAAGGGTGCACTTCATTTGGATCCAGAGGCTCCTGCCCAGGGTCCTGTGCCAGGCTGCATTCCCATTAACAGGAGGGGGGAAACGACTCTATGGTCACTCTTGAGAATATTTATTGAATCTTTATCCCGTCTCTATGTACCTCCTGCCAAACCTTGTGAGGTAAAGCTCATTAAAACTAGAACCGTTTAACTAGACTTGAGAAAATGGCCAACATGTCCCATCATGTGCCATTCAGTGCATGGACATAAAGGCCAGACTTGGAGCTGAAAAGGTGACAGTTTTGGCTTCTGGGTGGCCTCAGGGGGAGATCATTGAATGCAGCCCTTAGGCTGAAGGAGGTTCCACATCCTTGACCTAATGCATCAGACCAAAAATGATCATGTCGCTAGAAGGAGCCTTTGCACGTGCGCTTTGCTTTCTAGAAAAGAAGAGGCAAAAAAAGACGAAGCAGACCAACGACTGGAGGGAACGGAGGAACGCTATTCGGCTCACAAATGAATACACTGTGGAAACCCTTGTGGTGGCAGATGTGGACATGGTCCAGTACCACGGGGCTGAGGCCGCCCAAAGATTCATCCTCACTGTGATGAACATGGTAGGTGCCTGCTTTGTTCCTGGAGTTGTGTCTGAAATCAAAACCGGCTTTTGCTTTAGTGGCCCATCTCCGTCCTGGATGTGGAACGCTGAACCAACTTCCAACTTTGATAGCTTGCACAGTAATGGGGTCTTTTCTGCCCTGAAGAAGCTCCGCGGGAGCTCAGTCCTTCCTCTGCTGCCTTAACACAGTGCAGAAACAAAGACGCCATCCAGTACTTGTCTAGCCAAAGCCCACCCTGACCAAGAAATGCCCTTGCTGTTTGCATGATGCAGTTCTTTACTGAAGATATTCATCTTGGGGCTTCCTAGCACAGACTTCCCCAGTGTGATGCACTCTAGAAGTATTGGACTATAATGCCCAACAGGGTTCCAGCCAGCATGGATGGGTGGGAGGGACTGGGTTTTACTCAAAAATAAACCATGGGTTAACTTTGGATTGTTTAACTCCTAGACAGCCCAGAGTTTCCAGGTATGGATTTCTTAACAGTCCAGGATTAGGGTCCTTGGGTTATTAATTTAAAGAAGAATGGGCATGCACAGGAGGCAGGGCACTTCCTCATTTCCTTGGTCCCAACAACCCATGGTTTAAGCAGCTCATGGGCTGTTATTTTGTGCAAACTGGCTAAGTGTTTCGACTTCTTCAGCTAGCATGGCAGGATGAACAGCTGCCTCTAAAAGAAACCAGAAGGTTAATTTTCGCACGTGGTGCCAGGAATTAAGCAAAAAAAGATTTGCTGTTGGGGAGGTGAGGCGGTTATTAATCTGGCACCCTGCCTTAAGGCATGACATTTACTGTCAAACCACAAAGTAAGATTTAAAATGGCTTATTAGTACACACATTATATTTAAAGTTGGGATCTGCTTGAAGCAATTTAATATCTGTTTGTTGAGAGAGAAAGGCGGCATTACAAAATAGGGTTTTATTTTCACAGCTGCTGAGTGAGGATATGCATTTTTAAAAGATGCAACCCAAATGAAATGAAATGAAGCCTGGATGATCAACCCCCTCCAAGCCAAATCTCTGCTCTTAATGTATTTTTCAAGCTTTGATCCTGTGCCCTAACCTAGCATTAAATTATAAGTACCTTATTGCAGTTCTTCAGTTATGCTCCAGAAGATCTTTTATGAAGAATTGGGGATGTTTGTGCAAAGCTTAGGAGTCAAGTGTGGTGGTGAGTGCTGGCTATGAGAGCATCAGCAGGAGTATGATCTGTATGTTTTGGGAGAATGACATGGTGCCCCACTTATGGGACTGTGCCGCATCAGAGTAACGCCAGAGATCATAATGGTAGTAAAAACACCTTTCCCAAGAAAAACGAACAAGTAGGGAGAGCGTTTTTACTCCAGCTTGCTCCCTGATTTGTTTATTTTCGATGTGTAATGACAAGGAATGTCAGAAAAACCTGCAACAGACTTAAATGAATCTGGACTTCTCTGCGAGCCCATGTCATGGGTTCTGCAGCGGACTGGTTTGCCCAGGTCATGGGGAGCGTATCTTGTGCATTTTTGACAGTTTGTTCAAATGCACTAGCATGAATTTGCACAAATGCAATTTGCAGGAATGCACGTGAATGCATTTGTGCAAATTCTAAACACATCACCTTGAAAACGATCAAGTGAATGCCACCCAAAAATCTGTAGAACATGCATGGAGAGGCTTTTTCTCTATCATACATGCTTAGTAGGAAGTGTTCTTTTTGCTTTATAACACAGGTTAGTCTGAAAGTCTACATTTATTGAGAAGTAAGTCCTGTTATTAAATATTGCATTGATTATATGTATATCTTGTCTTTTTGCCTGCTTTTCCACAACAGCTTATATTATTTTCCTTTTCATTTTATCCTCACAAGAGCCTTGTGAAGTAGGTTACACTGAGAGCCATTGCCTGGCTCAGTTACCCAGTGAGCAGATCTGCAAAGTCCCAGCCTCAGAGACTCTAAACACTAAACCATACTTCCTCTCCTTGGAATAGATATGCATCAGCTTCTATGGCTGAGTAGTCCTTAACTCATATTTGGAATGGCACAGTTCTAAGAAGACTGTGTCATATGATCTTTGGCTGTACCATGTGCATGGTCTGGCTTTGAGTGCCTGGCCTGGGGGCTTACTAGGAAAGAGATGTGGGCCCTGAGAAACATAATTTTGTAAAGAGAATATTGGGGTGGGTGTAGGGAGGCTTCCTGCTTGGGTAACTTGAGGCAATTGAAGTTGTTCCCCTGTGTGTGTGTGTGTGTGTGTGTATGTATTTTAGGCAGCAGCAAGACAACTTGGGGCAAAAATATGGGCTAAAAATTACTAACTTTGCAGGGGTAATGAAGGGCTGGCTTTTCCAAATAGGTATATAGCAGGCATCCTTAATTCAAACCTGTTAGCCAGGAACACCGGAGAGGCAGGTATGGGAAAGGACATTCTAAAATCATGTTCATTCATTCATTCATTCATTCATTCAATTTATTTCCTGTGCTTCCTCACAACAGACCATATCCTTTATAAAACATACTATACCACATGAACAAAATTAAACTCACGATGTTAAAATCACAAATATATATAATAAAATTGCAGTAAAACCCTAAAATATAAGAGTTGCAACAAAACGATACATAGCATCCATGCAGCTTTGCAAAGAATTGGTTGTAGCTCGTCCACTTCACCGTTTCTGCTCACCTGCCCTTTTTCCTGACCGGTGTCAAGGGTGGGCAGGTGCGGATGGGCCCCTGCCCAGGGTCTGTGCCACAGCACGGCATGCTGGCAGGCGTCCCAGTGGTGTTCCTCACCTTCCCCACTGCAGTCTCCATGCTCAGCTGCCTCTCGCTTGGGCTTCGACAGTGGTGGTGGTGGTGAAGTGAAGGAGAAATGGATGCTGTCGTGAGCCGGTCCCTTCCCTCTTTCCTTCTGGTTCTCAGACTCAAAACAATCTTTTGAAGCACAGTTCTTTTACTGAAGCTTAACTGATATCAGAACACTATGAACTCCAAACAGCTTTCCACCAAAGTCAAGGGGAAGCACCTGCCCATGGAAGAGTTGAGTCCAAACTTTCCCTCTGTCCCCCCATTTCTGGAAAGATCCTGTGGGCACAGTAGAGACCGTCTAACTGGGCAGCTCATTTCTCCCATCACCTCCTGATTGAGTCAAGGTCATGCACCTGTTCCTCTTCACCCCCTGAAAACCCACCTGCCCCTCCTGAAAGCAGGCCAATTCTCGTTCTGTGCTCTGCCTAAGAAACTTTACGAGGCAACCCTGAAGGTTCAGTGCCCTCGCCTCCCCACCCCTTCCTCCTCCTCCTCCTCAGAATCAGAGAAATCCATCTGAACGTTCCATAATGAGTGAGAGCTGGACCCACTCGCAGCCATCCCCCGCTGTACTCCCAGAGCATGAGCAGCAGCTGTGGCAGCTCTGGGAATGAGGAAACCAACTCAGAAAGCTGAGGGTGCCTTGGTAGTGGCAGGAGGTGAGGTTGTGGGCTAGCACCTTCAAAACCTGGAGATGGCACGCCTCTCCTCACTCCTCTTGCCCTCCCTCCTCTGACCACCTGTTGTCACCCCTCTTCCTCATCACCACCTCTCTACCAGCTCCTTCTCCTTCCCCTCTGAGGAGGGGGTGGCTTCTGGGACGGTTCTCCTGGCCTGAGGTGGAGGGGAGCACAGACCTCTTCTTTTGTGCTGAAAAGATGACCTCCTCCGACCAGGAGAACTTCCCGGCTGCTCATCTCGGCTTGCAAAATGTGAAAGAGGCAGCAGGGGCAACTGGCCCATGAGCTTTTGCTCCTGAGGTGGGGGGACAAATGCTCCCAGTTCAAGACAAGGTTCAGAGTCCTGAAGGCCAACCAAGTTATTTTGGCATCGGAGGCAGGGGATCCCACAAGCATGGCTCCTGGTAGTAGAAATGCAAGTGGAAACCAACTGAGTAACAACTTGCCTTTCATGCACCCCGGATTAGCCAAGCAGTGTGAGCACTTCCCCTTGGCTCTGATGCCGGTGCGATTCTCCCAAGCCGGAGAGCGCACTGGTTGGGCCACGCCTGTGGCCAGAGAGACGAGGCGCCACTCATGTTTCACCCCATTGTGCCCTTATTGCTTGGGGCTTTCATCTCTTGTCCCTCTTGTCTTTCCCTTATTACCTCTTGTTGTCTCTTCACTGCCAAAATTACTGTGTAAACACCTTAAGGCAGCATTAGGCCTCTTTTGCTTATAATAACCTGTAATGCCTCGTGTACATTGGTGAGACATATATAATATATATGTAAACACTAACAGACATACCAAATAATGGACACATAAATAATAATAATAATAATAATAATAATAATAATAATAATTCATCACATTATTTTAGCCATCCTAGAAAAAGGGATTACTAGTGGCATAAAATGTGTTTAAAATCATTCTCCATCTTTTGACTGGAATGTGCCATGGATAAACCAGAAAATGGGCTGCATATTTTTCTCAGGCCTCCCTCAAGAATAAAAAGTGATCCCCCCCCCCGCCCCAAACCCAAATGGAGATCAATCCAATATGAAGAACCTAAGTCATTTCCCCACAGGATTCTACCCGCTAAGAATCATCTGCAAATGGAATGACGTGGGGTGATTTAGAATCCCAAGCGAAAGTTAGGGATGTGTGAATAAACAAAATTCAAGCTCCTGAGGTTCTCCAAATCCCATCTTGAAGCTGATGCTGTCTCAAGCCAGTATCAGACTGCAAGCAAGATTGATTTGTTGATTTTGCAAGAAAATCCATTCATATTTTCTTGCACATTTTTCAAAATCAGTTTTGCACATATTTGAAATGTTTGCATTCTTCTCCCATTGATTAAAGTACATTTTTTCAAGCATGTTTTTCAAATTTAAAAAAGATCCACCACTTGCAAACTCAGAGCTATGTGGATTTCAACTATAGATTGCATCTGAGTCTGTGCTCAGTCTAAAAGATGTGTACTGGAATGAGCTTCCTTAGAATCTAAATTAATAAAGTTATCATACATCCCCAGGAAAACCCAAGTTTATTCCCAAAGGCTAAAGTATAAACTTTCCTTTTTAATAATGTTCAGTCACCAGTTTCATGTTATTTCTTGTTCCTTTATGAGGCTTTTAAATGAATCACACAGATTAGCAATGGCTGTAAGAATACACTTTATAGTCACTCGTCAGCCTTTAGTCTTTCCTAAAATACAGGCAAGTTCTTTTCAAAACCAACAAGAAAGTATGCATCTATTTTAAAAGGCAATTATTTAGGTTGACCAAACATCAGATCACAGAGGGGAAATTCTTTTTCGCATCACTGTTCCATGGTCTTGATTATATGAACCTTCTGTTTCTATAAAAGCACAGTGGTTGGGAAACCACTCCTAAACTGCAAATTGGTTCTTCTATTAAGTATCTTTAAACAGTTAAAAGATTATTGAAGTTTCATATGACTGAACATACTAATTACTAGTTGGGTTGTCATCTTGCAAATGAACATTATTGATCCTTTTTCTGGAAAAGTCAGGGGGGATTTTTTTGATGACTCAAACAAGTTACAAACTGCAGACCAGAAACCCAAAGGCGGAAGAAGTTCCATGTAGGGCTGCCCATTCCTGAGTTCACAAACAGTGGCTCTGAGTCAGGGCAGGGTGTGGGTGGTCTGCTTAGGACAAGATGCTGGACCTGGGCGAATCTGGAAACTGGAGGTGGAAGCTGCCTTCTCTTCAGGGGGACTAGCCCCGTTTTGGCCACATTTATCGACAAAGGCTTCCCAGGAGTTTTCCCAGCACTGCCCGGAGTTGCATGCGACCTTCTGTGTGCCGAGCGGTTGCACAATGTGTTGTGAGCGACTCCTTCCCCGCCTCTCCTTCCTTCAGCTTCCAAACACTCAGGACAATCCTTTGAAATGCAGTTCTTATTTTGTAACCCCTCCATGCACAGGGTAGCTTAACTCGAAACTGTATCTTTAAGAGCCACTTCATTCCTCTGAAGTTATTCAAGAGTCAGATGTTAATTTGTTCCACAAAGTTAACTACCATGGTGGAAATAACATTTTCTAGCCACCCAGAGCTGTGCAACAAACACTCCTGGCTAGCTCTGCACCTATTATTGTCCACTGGCATGCAGTGAAGTTACAGAAAATGTGGATGTCCCCTATCCACTCTGCCCTTTGACTTTATCTGCAATTTATGAAAAGCCAGTCTTGCAGTCCTGGGTCCCCAGTGTTCTTGGAAAAGAGCACCGACCCAAATGTGCAGAAGATCTTTAAGCTTTCAAAACATCTCTTTGCTCATCCACCTAAAAAATAAAAAAGTGTGTCAGCTGCACAATCAAGGAATGAGAAAGAGAATTCTGGGCTACATTCAATCTCTGTAAGAGAGATGAACTGTCTAAGGCTGGAATGTACAGTCAGGAGATAACCAAATAAACTAGTTTCCTGCAGTGTTTTTGTGCTTCCTAATGTAAGATCTGTGCCATTCTATACTTGCTCATATTTTTATTCTGTTTCATAGCACATGAATAACACAAGGAAATTGCTTTTCCATTCCATTTCCTGAAGTCCAAAATACACTTTTGTTTTGCTCTCTCCTAGCAGTGATGTTCTTAGTGTCTTCTGACCTGGGTAAACCACAGTCTTTCAAATTATCTTAATGAATCTAAAATGATGCTTTCACTTTAGTCTCCCCTTTGATTATCATTCTCAGCCATCCATTTTCCCTTTCTTTTCGCAGCCTTTTTAATATCTGGGTTTAAAAAAAATAAAAGCATGTGTTTTATTTCAAGTCCTTGGAGACTGTCTTTAAAATTGCCATTTTACACAATTTGAGAGGACCTGCTTAAGTAGATAGAAAGTGCTCATACTGGCCTACAAGCCCCTGAACTGCTTGGGGCCAGGTGACCTGAAGAGTCTTTTCTTTCCATGTGAATCTGCCCAGACCCCAAGAGCACCCTCAAAGTCCCTCTGGGAGCCCCTGCTGAACGAGGGGTGGCAAATAAGAAGAGCACCGTGTCACTGGTGCCATCTCAGCCCTCCCTGAAGGTCTTTTGATCCCAGTATAATCTTTTAAACATCAGACAAATACTGTCCCCGCCCCCTTCATACGTTTTAGTCTACAGCAGTCGAAGGCTGCTGGGAAATCCCTGGTTCAGATTTTGCCTTTGTGATGAGCAAAGCGAATTGTCTTTGGTGAGTTGCAGCTTCTACCCTGTTTGTAACAACATCAACACACTTTATAAGGCTGTCGTGCTGTGATAAAAGCCACCTAGGGACTTTTAAGCATTGGGCAGCATATGAATGGAAATATTAAACAAATAAATACAGTTTACTTTGCTCTTCAACTACTTGAAAAGTTCTTATGAATTAAGGACTGTGGACTGCGCTTCTTGCCCTCGTGTTTGTGACTAGTAGCTCATGTTATTAGCTGACTAATAAGCAGGGAGAGAAAGAAGAGGGAGGGATGTGCAGAAACAGGGAAATCCAACTTAATTGGGTATGATGGATTTCCTGCCTGCGTCCAATCCAATGACAAAAAAGTTGGCCTAGTTGGGTTTTCCTATGGACTTGCATCTCTAAGATGGACCATGTTTTTTATTTTTACACTGGTACTGAAATTTGCGTAAATAAGCCCCCAATCCTGATCATCTTTGTTGCCCTCCTTTGAACCTTTGCTTGTTCATGCAAATTACCGTAGTGGTTTTAAAAAATGTGCAAATTGTGATCCATCCACAGACTGGCTTAGCTCCCACTGCAGCAAGTCGGCCTCAATGCAGGGCTAATGAACCAGTATCTGGGCTGGATCATTAGAATCTATTGAGTTTTCACCATCCCCCATCAGAGTCCTTACAGATCCCAGAGAACAGGTGCTTGCTCGCTCGCTCGCTGGCTCTCTCTCTCTCTCTCTCTCTCTCTCTCTCTGCATGTGATCACATGCATTTTTGTCCAGTTAACCTTCACCAGTATGCTATTCTGTGCTTATTGTCTGTTCCTGCTTTGTTCAGGTGTACAACATGTTTCAGCATCAGAGTCTGGGAGTCAAAGTCAATATCCAAGTGACAAAACTTGTACTCCTTCGGCGGCGTCCTGTAAGTTGCTGACAAACTTTAATTCAACTGTGGTTTTAGTGGTGGTGGTTTGCTTTTCTCCAAACAGCTGCTTGAAATAGTGACTTAATGGATAGATTTAAAAAGACAGGTCTGGAGAGGCTGCAAAGCACCGCAATCGAGCCGGTTGCCAGTGCTGTGTGCGCCTGGAAGGATCATGCAGAAAGTGTGCAGGGGAGTGGGCAGAATCGATAGGAGAGGCTGCTGCAGCCTACCTGATATTCAGGTTTCAGGTGGGCTGCTATGGATACCTGACTCTGGCATCCTCATATTCTCACCTCATTGCCTGGATGCAGTTTTTGGACTTGCCTTCCCATCCTGCCGAGGCCTGCCGGCTTTCATGCTGGTTCCCTTGTGCCCAAGGCGTTGCGTTGCCAACCTGGGGGAATCTGGTGGGCAAAGGCCTAAGTGTGCAGGCACTTGTTTCAGGTCAGGGCAAAGTTGTGTGGCGTGTGGGCAGAACCTTACCGGCTTAGTGGGCCCTGGGCAGGGCTCGGCTGAATGCAACCTCACTGGCTTTCCAGGATGCTGGCACTGGCTATTTGAGAGAACATGGCTCAGGTGAGTTTTTAGAACAGACAGGTGGGCAATGTAGTCATTCTGCTCATGTGAAGAGGGAAGCCACATCCAATGTACCACAGCAGTATCGTCTCTCTCCCTTGTAAAGTGTTCCTTCTGGCACCCACATCGGTTAGATCTCACCCAGGTAGAAGCGGGGAAGAGCGTTGGTTTGAAATGAAAGCCCCCCAGCGCTTATTTTGTCGAGAGCCCAAGGTGTGCTTCATTTCCTGCAGCTTTGCCCCTGGCTGATCCCACCTCTGTTTCTCTTCAATTCCTGTTCGTTTCCTGAAGGCCAAGTTGTCCATCGGTCACCACGGGGAGAGGTCTCTGGAGAGCTTTTGCCACTGGCAAAATGAAGAGTTTGGTGGTGCAAAATACCTTGGAAACAACCAGGTTCCTGGAGCACGAGACGACACCCCCTCTGCAGATGCTGCTGTTTTTGTCACCAGGTACTGATCCTCTTCTATTCGCATATCTGTTGGCTCTTCGCCGCTGCGGCCTTCTCTTGGCTGTGCTCCTAGAACGAGGCTCCTGCTGTCCCCCATGCGGAATTCAAAGCCCCCTTTTCTGGGGGGGGGGCACTGTGCAAGCACTCTTACCCATTCTTCCCCCTTCCCAGGCTGGTTTTTTCTGAAGGGAGTGTCATGTGTGGTGCTTGAAATGGTCAGGACACATCCCTTGGTGGAAACAGTCAAGGCATTTGCTGGACGAGAGGTTTGGAGAGGTTCATAGTAATCCAAATGGACGGGGAGCTCCAGCTGCCACTGGTTTGGAAGATGGACTCAAAGATCAGCTCGTGTGGGGAGGGCGCTGGGCATTGCACCAGAGCTGGGCTTCCTCAAAACCACATCCACCCTGCAAAATGAGTTGTGTTGCGTTGCCACAGCCCTTCCCTTCCTGGATCTCCGTTTTCCCCCTGTCCCATTTGACCTTTCCTCTGCGTGGGAAAGGATGGTGCATCGGCTGGAAGTCCTCGTGGCTTGACTCTCTGGGCTCCTAGGGCACCAGAAACAGTGGCTTTGGCGCCCTCACACTTGCTCTGTGTTGTGTGTGTGTGTGCACGCGTGTGTGCGCTGTTTTCCATAAACACTTTTCAAAGACCAGATGTGGGTCTCTGGATGCTCCCCAAACTGTACAGATGGGCCAGTGGCAGAGGATGCGGAAACAGCAGTGTGTTCAGCGCAGAACAGCGAAGCCAAGAAAAAGCAGGAGCTGGGTTTCCGGCAGCTGCAACATTTTGTTTTTATATAAAAGCTCTTTAGGGTTGACCTCAAGGAAGAACTTTAAGGGATTTTCTCCTGGTGGGTTCCTTCTGGGGAAAGCAAGAGGCAAGCGCCACTCACCTCTTGGAAGCTCCCCATTGCTTTCTTTCCGCTTCGCCAGGCTGTTGTGGGGGTTAAAGGCTGCCAGTGCAATTAGGGGCGCGATCCTATGCATGTTGAAAGCATTCCTAGCTTCCCAGCACTTCTGAGCAAGCCATGCTAGGTGGAGAATGCTGGGAGCTGAAGGACTTTTTTCCCCAGTCTAAACATGCATCCAATTGTGCCTGAGGATTATATTCTGGGGTGCTGTTTTCTGTCAGGCAAAATCTACCATGTTCCTAAAAGGATCAAGGAAGATTTTTCATAGGGGTGTGCAGACACTCACCTGAGAAACTTGTTAGTCTTATCAAAACTCTTCTGTTGATTTCCTCAAAATACAACTGATGCTTTTCCTGTGCAAGATCTGCAGCTGAAGTTGAACTTCCATCTCCACTGCTGAACTATTCATCCCATGGCAAGGGTGGGTGGGGAAGTAGCCCGAGTGCTGGAGGGGTGAAAATCATAGGACTTCGGGGAGGGGTGGCTTAGTTTCAAGTCAATGAGGTGTTTCATTCCTTTAAATGGCAACAAGCTTTGCTAGGCCAGAATTATGTACCTAGCCAGAACGATCCAGCACAGCACAATGGTGTTGGGTTGTCCCCAGGGTGTTCTTGTGTGGGGGCAAGTGAATGGAGAGAAGGCTGCTCCACCAATGGTCTGCAGACTTTGGGGCAACTTTCACTATCTCGTCTTCTCCATTTCTGGCCTCAGAATTTGTGCAAATGTGTTTGTGCGTATTTGCACAATTTCATGTTTCTGAAAATTTGCAGATTGATCAAACATGCCCAATTTTCCCTATTAGGTGTATTTTCACACCTAATGTTCACATTTTAATTTTTTTATTGTTTTAAGATATTTTCCTGCTGCTAAATTTGCCAAAAAAGATGCACAGCATAAAAAAAGAAAAGGTCCACAAGCCCCACATGACTTGGGGAAATGGGTGCGCTGCAGAATCCACAGGGGAGACTCCAGAGTCTTCTGAGCCCATTGTGGACGCTTCTCACATCGCTGCACTTAGTGCAGAAAAGTGGTCCTGAGGGATCTTTCCCAGGAATGCTTAGGAGCAACATTCCACCATGTGTGGCATCATTCTTTGGGGGCGCTGTGAACACAAAGTTCTGCAGCAGCCACACTGCTGTTTGAAATGATGGCAAGGGACTTTCTGCAGTTTAAAGAGAGGTTTAAAAATGGCCTATCGTGGTCTATTTCATCAAGTCATAAATAGAGCGCTCAAAGTCCTCTTCTCTCCTCCTGTATTCTCTGAACTGCAATTTAACAATCTCCAGGGAGGGTTTGCATCCTGCCATCCCAGAAATGCAGAAGTATTGGATCCACTGCAAGCAAGGACCAGATTCACTCGTAATTTCGGTTGTTGGTGACAGCGCCTCCTAATTTTGACCGCTGTGTTTGACCGTCTCCACTGGCCCGGGACTCCCCACAAGATGACCAAGGACATGGCGGCACAGTGCCCGCTCGGAAGGCAGCCTGATTGACAACTCATCCTTGCCTCTGTAGGTCTCCCCGAGAACCTTCACCCGTGCCATCAGAATGCCTTCTGCTTTCCTCAGCATCGCCTAGCAAATTATCCCAAGCAGAAATCAATGGATTTTTTCAACCATTTTCCTGTCCATGAATGTGAGGGGATATAATGAGTTGCCTCCACATTGCTGAAGATACTCGTGAATGTGAAGTGAAGGAGAAGTCAGGTCATTAGAAATGCTTTTGATTCTTGGATCAAATCCAGTTGTTCCTTTGGGTCAGAATGAGATGAGTGATTTCTGAAATGGTAGGCTGGACTGAACTCACTTTTTGATTGCTAACCTGCACTCAAAACTTCGTGAAGTAGAAAGCTCAGACGGCAGGAGTGGGAATGGGCTGGGATGGATGTTTTCACCCCGATGTGTTAGTCTTTTGCTTATGGGAGGGATTGATGAGGGAACTTCCAGGGCTGGTGCTCCACACCTGCAGGCTGTTCAATCCTCTCACTCTGCAGGGTGAGCAGAGGGGTCTCTAAGCCCCAGGCTGGGGCAAACCCAGTCAGAATCCTCCCCTACAAGCATTCATGGGCTTCCTCTTGCACTCAGTCTGGATTCCGAAGGGAGCCAAGCCAAGAGGAAGCCCACAAGCATGTGCAGAGCCCTGGGGTTTGTGCAGCCGGCCACCAATGGCAGTGGCAGTGGCAGGTAGAGCGGCAATGAGGGACTTCTTCCCAGGGAGCCCCTCGCAACAAGCCCCCTTCAGCACGGGATGCAGCCCCTCAGGCAGCGTGGGAGGAGCAAGCTCGAGGCCTGGCGAGCGCCTGGAACCCTCTCCGGTGACCTTGGCTTGGCTGCTGCAAATCAGCCTGGAGTCTCGGGATCCAAGGCCAGGGAAACGGAGCGATTTCCGCTCCCAGTGGATTCCTCACACGTCCCTCTCTGAGCCGTTCTATAACAGGACAGGGTCGCAGGCTGGGGCTTGGAGGCTGCACGGATCTGTTGTGTAGATGAGGGACTGCGTTCATAATGCTCTGCCTAGGCACCCACAGGACGCTGGTGCACTGGGGAGAAAGAGTAAGGTGAGCCCCACATGCAGGACACATGTCCAAGCGAAGCAGGCATGGCTGGGGCTGCCACTGAATGGGGATGTTCCAATGCATCCAGGAGACCCTGATACATGCTCACAGAACTGCAGTGGTCTCCTGCAGCAGCTAGATTTCCACATGCAGGGACGCTAGCCTGCCTCCAGACCAGAATTCTGGTCGCCTTGCTCGCCCACCTCTTTCTGGGCATGTCACAGACAGTGCCCAGCTGCCAGCACTTTCTTCTTGTGTTTCTGTCTCCACTACCATCCTCAGGACTCCCAGACGGAGCCCTGGCATTGAGGGATGAGAGGATTTTGAGCTGCTGGCACTCCAGAAAGATGGCTAATTGCGCCCTGCTGCTTGACGTCGCGTCGCGGTGGCGCCACAGGGTGGGGCAGGGGGCTGCAGGGAATTGCCTGGAACCAGCCACCCCATCATCACTGCAGTGCCTACGGAGTGCAAGAGGCAGAAATGCCGAGCTTTTATTTGCTAAGCGAGTGAGCCCCTCAGGGGAAGGCCTCCCACCACTTACTCCGAGCTCACAATAAAAGCATCTGCTTGATTTACCAGTTTATATAACATAATGAATCCTTAAATAAACTTCTGTCGAGCTGGCTCTGGGAACTCCTGCGAGGGGGCTCGTGCCAGCAGGTCAAGAACTGCGTGTCATCAGCTGCCTTGCGGAAGGGCTTGAGTCTCTAGCATTCAGATGGGATAAAGCAACCCTGACTTCCCTGCTGGGGTGCAGAGCTTGCCCTGCTCTGCCTGAACGAAATCTCTCTTGACGGCTGTCCTGAAAGCGAGGCATGGAGATGGCAGAGATTTCAGAGGGGGAGAAAATGAAAATGAACAGGCAGAAGGCACCTAATGGTTTTTAGTTATAGTGCACTGAAGAGAGACACAACGTTTTTAGAGTAGTCGGGGCAGATGGAAATGAGTTCCCCATGTTTTCATGTGCTCTTTTCCTCTCCATGATCGATCTCTGAAGAAGAAGAGATCAGTTTTTGCAACCAACTGAAGAACAAGTAGGTAGCAACTGCACACCTTGTGGTTTTTAAATGAGCAGAAACAAGGTGGGCTGGCCTCTTGGAGCCCGGGGGGGGGTCTCCCAAAGCCCCCCCCCCAGGCCTTGGCTGTGGCCTGCTAGACGTGCCCAAGCAATGGAGCAGTGGAACCAGGGATGCTGGCGCCATCTGCAGCCCGCCTCAGAGTTCCCTCTTCCCTCTGAGCCTGAGGTGGTTGAGGGGCGGGAGGAATGGCTCTCCCAGCAAGGCTGTGGTGTTTGGAGGACTGACGTGCTGATATTGAAAGTCTGGCTCGTTTATGCTTGGCAGGCGTCCTTCCCATTTCCAACACAATGACCAGAAGTGTGCCAAACTGTGGGGCTTTCCACAGACTTTTCTTTCCAGGATAGTCTCCATGTGCACATTTTGTTCCTGAAAATAATGCTAAGGAAGTTTGTATAAATGTACGTACTTTGCGCAAGTTGACACAATTTATGCAGGACATGAAATTTTGCACAAATCACCACCCAAAATGTGAGAATGAAGTGCAGATTTGTGTGAGGCAGTTGAATTTATTTATTTATTTATTTATTTATTAGAACATTTCTATGCCGCCCCTTGCCGAAGCCTCGGGGCTGCTTACAACACAATTTTACACAATTTCCAGAGGTTGCGTAATAGGCAAATTGTGGCCCATCTTTGAGACCGATGTCTTTGCACTGGCTGGATGTGCCCTGTGGTGGGCTGGTGCCAGGGCAGCGCTGGTGAACCAGAACTGGGCCTGGGGTCAAATGATGGAAATCCAGTGGACCTTCACCCCTTTCTCAGATCCCTCATGGATCCCTAGCGCAGAGTTATCCCTGTGCTAACGTGAAGTGGTTCGGAGTGGCCTGTTCTTGAACGGCCAGTGGAGACCCAACTGCAAAGCAGGTGGGCATTTCAAGCATTGGTCTGTTGGTGTGAACATGGCAGCCTTCAGTCTTGGGCCTCCTGTGGTGGTGCGGCTTTGGAGATGGTCGCACTGAGTGTCTGCATGTCAAAAGTTACCGCAGAGCCCAAGCCAACAAGTCCCCTTCCAGCCATTGCTGAACTCTCCTGTGGGCAGAGGGAATGAGGCGTGGAGGAGGCACACGGGAGCACAAGTCTCCATGCTTCCTCCGCATCACAGCCCCACAGCCCCCTCCTCCCTCCCTCCCTCCCTCCCTCTGTGTATGTGTGTTTGAAAGAGAGAGGTTGGGGGACTGGAGGGTGGTGAGATGGTCTTTTCTTTCATCTTTCCTCTCCAGCGGACCCAGAGGAAACTCCAGGAGCACTGCCCTTCCTGTCAAAGCACCAGCTGCAGAACAGTTTGAATCAAAGTAGGGCTCTCCTTGGGAAGTGGGGGAAGCACCTGCCCCACCTGATGCAAAGAGGGAATCCAAGCAAAAACTTCTCTGCTTCCCTCCCTTTCAGAAGGCTTCTGACTACACCCTCTAGGCAGCTGCTGCTACTTCAGGGCTAGACAGCGGGAATGCCGGACACTTTCTAAGTGGTCCATTCAATTCCCCTCTCTTCTCCTGACAGGGTCCAGAAATGCCACCCAGTTCCCCTGCGCCCTGTTCTGAGATGCCTTCCGCTTTTCCAAGGCAGCTGCTTATCACACTCTGCCTGAGAATCTTCAGGGGGAGCCTTGGACTCACCTGCCCTGCCCTGCCCTGGGGCACTTCCTCAGAACTGGATGGCTCTGGCTGAGCTGGTGGCCCTGTGTAAGAGCTGGGCCCTCTCCACATGGGCAGCAGCTGTGGCCATGCCCCCCCTCGGCATGTGCCCCCCCCCCCATCAGTGGCTGCCTGTGGGAAAAGGCCTCCTGTTGCTCCTGGGAAGAGGGATGGGAAAGACAGGCAGCTGGCCCATCCACTCTCTGATGGGCACCTTCAGTGGTGCAGTGCTAAATCTCGAGACGCAGGTACTTCATAGTCATGCTTCACAGAAACAGAGCGAGTCAGAAGGGGTCTCCCAGGCCATCTAGTCTGACCCCTGGTTCCAGCCAGGTCCACTCATGAAATGCCCACCATGTGCATGTCCAGCCTATCCTTGAACACCCTCACCGATGGGGCCTCAACCACCTCCCGTGGAACCCCATTCCACACCCTCGGGGTCCTAACCGTCAGGAAGTACTTCCTGGCATCCACCCTGAATCTTGCTTCCTTGAACTTTGCTCTGTTGGAATGCATCCTGCCCTTCTCTGCAGGGGGAAAAAAGGTCCTGACCCACCTCTGTGTGGCACCCCCTCACGTTCCTTTATGTCGCTAACAGATCCCCTCTGAGTCTCCTCCTCTCCAGGCTGAAAAGACCCAGTTCCCTCAGTCTTTCCCCATATGACTTACCCTGAAAACCAGCCACCATCCTAGTGGCCCTTCACTGCACTGATTCCAATATTGGTGTTAATAGGCAGAACTTTTAGAAACATAGGAACAGAGTGAGTCAGAAGGGATCCCCTGGGCCATCTAGTCTGACCCCCAGTTCCAGCTGGCTCTGCTCACAACATGTCCACCATGTGCATGTCCAGCCTATCCTTGAACACCCTCACCACTGGGGCTTCAACCACCTCCTGTGGAAGCCCATCCCATGTCCTTCCCCCCTTTGCTTGCATGGTGCAGTCTTCTGAGACAGATCCGCCCCATTCTGTGGAGGAGGTGGAGGGGTGACTGGCTCAGCAGCTTCAGGGTTGCACAGAATGGGAGAACCAGCCCACAAGGAGGAGGTCTTTTCAGAACAGGGTGGGGTGGCAGTTGACCCGTCAGGAGACACCAGGTGCCACGAGTGGGCCCACGGAGAAGTGTCCTGCGTCTAGTCCTCAGGTGGCAGCAGCAACCCTGAGCTGCAGTCAGGATCTTTCAGGAGGGTATGCAGAGAAGGAACATTCCAATTGGGATTTAGCCCCGTATTTGGGCAGATGCTTTTTCCACATCTCAAGGAGAACATTATTTGCATTTATGCTGTTTTGCTACCTGTCTATCTCTAATAGAAGGACTGTGCTTCACAGCTCCCAAATACAGAGGGAGGGGCACTTTAAATTTGTTTGAAGTCTTGCCAATTATAGGTGTTTGCAAAGTTTGCACCCCTCTCTCTTGGGTTACACAGCTTTAGGACGTTTCCACTTCAAAACCCAAAACAAAATAGTTCGCTCTGCTGTTGGGAATAGAGTATAAGGTCAGTTTTCAGAAACGAGAAGTGGAGAACGGTAAGCGTGGAAAAGGAACCAGGCTGTGTGAAAGGCTCCAATGTCCCACGTGGGCCTAGAATTCGAATTAGAACATTGGAATCCTGACTTTCCTCAAGAATGTTAGGAGAGCGAATGGTTGCACTTAGTTTAGATGCTACCTGCAAACAGATTAAAGTAAGGACATCTGGTCTGTTTTCCTTATTCACAACTGTTTTTTTCTCATAGCTGTTTGTGCATAGATATATATTCATATTTCATTTGCATCTATTATAAGTTGAATCATTTCAATTTATGTAAGGAAGGCTTTTTTTCTTATGGTATTGTGCTGTGTTGTTGAAATTCACACAAAATTAAAAGCATAGGGGAAGAGCAAGCGTATCCACACAGCAGCTCTGAGAGGCAGGTTGAGAGAGTAGGACTGAGCGCAGGATCGGCCTTCCGGAAATAGTCTCTTCTCCAAAGGTGTTGGGTCCTGTGGGTGCCCCAATCTACCCCGCTCTTGGTGTAGGTGCACATGACTAATATCCTTGGCCTGTGCCCAGTGAGCGTGACACATTGTGAAGAAAAAGCCAAGTCCCCTTCATCCTACACTTACCTACTTGCAGACAGGTAAAGGTAAAGGCATGGGTGCATCTATAAATTGGCAAGACCCAGTCCCATCATGATACAATGTGCCCATGCCACTTTAAAAAATGCATATGAAGTACAAGCATTCATGCCATGTTTTTCCTAATTCTTGTGATGCTTTATTATTTTCAGGACAGATTTTTGTGTCCACAAAGATGAGCCGTGCGATACTGTGGGTGAGTAGGCCGTTCCCTTCGCTTTGCTCTTCTTCTCTGCAAGGAGATTTTCCTGACCAACCTCAAAAACTCCTTTAAGTCTCTCTAACTCCAGCAAATATAAAACATTATGTGACATGACTGAATGTATGTGTGTCTCCTCATTTTTCCTGTACAGCTGGCTACCCCATTCAGCCTTCCTTCCTCTCTCTGCATTAGCCATTAGTGCTACGTGGGCGTTCAGCAAAGGCAAAGGCAAAGGCAAAGGCAAAGGCAAAGGCAAAGAGGGTGCCCGGGGCTGAGGAGGCATGTGCATCAGCCCAGCCTCTGGCCTCGCGGCATGTGCTGCCCCACCACCTCCAGTCCTGGCCCCGTGGCTCCATGGGGGCCTGAGGAAAGTCTGAGCATAGTTAGAAGCCACCCCACCGCTGGCTCCCTGGCAGGGAGTCTGTGCACATTCAACGGATTCTCTCTCCATGCTAATGTGGCTGTCCACGCTTTTCTTACAGCCTGCAAGATTCTCTGCCTCTCTCAATTTTTATTTTATTTCCTAGGTTGCATTTGCTTAAAAATGGGGGTGGGGGTTGGCATGCTAGACAGTGAAGGACATTCTTCAGCACCACGTCTGTTTGGGTTCCAAAGAGAGATTTTGAGCTCAGAATGCACCTGTGTCTTTTCTCTGAGTCTCACCAGGTGGCCTTCTTGGAGTTGAATGCTTCCTGACCATCTGTGTGTATCACAGCAGCCTTTTTATGAAGGTCAGACCATGTCCGTGTTAGCCATTTTGTGAGAGTGCCCACAGCGAAATGCCAGATGTGCCCATTGACCCACAAAGAGGGGGGGATACTCACCTCAGACCTTCATGCTAAATGAGCGGAGGTTGGGAGTGACTGGGCTCAGCCTGCACGGGAAGGTGAGTCGCTGGTGCATCCCTGGCTCTTGCATACTCTGGTCTGGACACGTGCAGGCGGAACGCCTCAGCCAGACTAGGGTGACATGACAGCAGAGTGAAGGCCCTGGATGACGGCAGAGAAACTGAACCGCAGTAGCAGTGGGAGGCCCGGTGCTCTTTTGTGGCAGCCAAGGATGGGAGAAAGATAGTGAAGACAGAAGAGGTGGGCTAGGGGAGAGTGGGGGGAAGGCAGGGCTGAAGCTGTTCCTCTCCAGCCGCAGGAAGAACCTGCCTCCTTCTCCTCTTTCTCCTCAGCCCAGGGGGCAGGATCTGGACCATGGCCTTTGTATGCCGCTGTCGTGCTAAAGCAATGGCTACGCTAGGCTAACTCCTACCTCAAACACCTGAGCACTGTCAATAAACATGTGTCCTAAACTGACTTATATAAGAAACTCCACCAAATGCGTTTAGCAAAATTATAAAGTAATTGATCAGAGAGCAGAAATATATCAGTTGTCATTGCCCCGGGTATATTTAAAAGGATCATGTGCCTGCAAACCTTGAAAAAATAAACGCATCTTGCATATCGGAGAACAAAGTATGTTCACGGAAGCCATCTCTTCTAGACCACTTCCACACACCATTACTTGCCTATGCTCTGATGTACAATCTTTCCAAATATCTAATATCTGGATCATTTCAGTGTGTGCTTAACTCTCTTACTTAAATCGATGGGATGTTGGCTCTGAGGATACACTACTGACCTAGATCACTCTTCCGCCACTTTGGCTTCCCTCAAGGAATGCGAAGAATCCTCTGCTAGAAGTCCCACAGATTCCCTCTCACAGAATGGCACTTTCCAGGATTTCTTGGAGAAAGGAAGGAATGGCGGTCCAGGGTACAGATGCACTTTCTATAGTAGCTCCATCATACCAGACCTGCTCATCCTAATTTACTTGCAAACATAGGACTCTCTCTCTCTCCCACTGGATTTTATATGAACAGCCCAAACTTGCTTTCAGGAAGCAGGGAAAGACAATTATCCTAAGCCTATGTGGGTTGTTTATCACCTTTTGTTATTTGGAGAAATTGAAGTATCTCTGTTCTTGGTTGAAAGCTACCTTGAGGGGCTTAGGACACAAAATTGTGTAGGACTATTTTAAATGTACAAAAGAACAATTACTTCTACATAGCGGGAACCCAACTCGTGCCTTTACAAATGCATGTATGTGTGCACTCTTAATCTGATGCTCATTTTGGCAACTTGGGGATTTTTCCAGCCTGTGTAGTTCCCCTTCCTATCTCTACCTTCCGTCTTGGGTCACATTACAGTCCTAAATGAGTTTATTTGGGAGAAAGACTCTCTGAATTCAGGATTCACTTGACTGAGAATTATAATCTCAGTATTGGAAATGCTTGGCTTGTGTTTGCAAATTTTCAGTGCATATTTCTCAAATGAAGACTATAATGACAGTTGAGTGTAAATGCCTTTGAAAGTAGTAGGGCATCTTTCTGAGTGGAAGAATATGGTGTGTGTTGAATTTCGGTTCACCGTTCTTTGCAGCTGCTGTTCAACATCTGGGTGATGCTTCTGTAAGAGGCTTCATCTATAGCAGCCTGCTCCCACCCATGCTGAGCTAATGGGAGTTGTAGTCCAGTGTATCTGGAGGGCACCAGTTTGGTTAGTTTTCATAGCACAGTGTGTCCTGTAATAGTTCACAAACAGGTTTTCAGCACCCAGAATTAGAGGTGTACATACTTCATTAAACGCATCTATGGATTGTGTTTCATGGATTCTGTGGTGTCTTTTGTTCTGCCATCTGCTCCTTGATGGAGCCAGATGTTTCGTATAAGCATTCTGTTTGTTTGTGAATACTCACTTGTGCTTTAACTGAACTGCTCTTTAACAAGGCTTTTAAAGTACTTACGCTCCTTATTGCCTGAACGAAGGTGAGGTATAAAAATAGCTAACCATTCCATCGTACTTCCTTTGGAGGTAACACATCATGCCAGACAACACAAAATAGTCCTTGCTTTCTGTCTGTCTTCCATATTGTCCAGTGGGGGGCTCTGCATATTGACCAGGGACTGCATCGTCGTCGTCGTCAAATTAAATTTATATTCTGCCCCTTTCCTTACAAAGAACTCAAAGCAGCTTACATCATTTTCCTCCTGCTGCTGTCAACCTTATCCCCACAACAACAGCCCTGAGAGACTGGTTGGGCCGAGAGTCTGTGACTGGCCCAAAGTCGCCCAGCTGGCTCCAAGGCTGAGCGGGGACTTGAACCTGGATCGCCTGAGTCCCGGTCCCGGCTCTTATCCACTGCACCACGCTGGTTCTCATAATGCACATGTTTCCCGGCTTAGTGGTGCGTCTGTGCAGGGAGCACTCTCTCCGCACCGTTTCCACCCAGCTTGTACTAACCCAGACAGATCTCTGGATCCAAATCTAAATACCTTCTTGGAAACGTTGCTTGCTAGAGAAAACAGCGCTAGGCGGCTTGCATTTGTCTTTGGCAGGGCATCCTTGCTGAAATGGACTGCTTGGGGAATGGAGTTCAACTGCCAAAGTAGTTTTGAAGGTTACATAATGACTGAACTGAGCTCAAAAATGGGGAAAAATATGTAGGTATGTATTTGTAGGGATGAGCCTGTGCTGGCCACTCCAAGAAGCAGAACAACCACATTTGTATTGGAAAGAGTCTGCTGGCTTTTAATATACTTGCTCAGTTGGTTAGTGGGCCCTAAAAGACAGCTGGATTCTTTCGTTCTTTTTCTCTACAGGAAGATTTAAGGGGAAGGACAGCCATGCATACAGATTTCTAGCAACAGCATGACTGGAAGGGGCTTGCTTTTATCCAGTTCAGTGTTTGCCGTTGACAGTCTGCAGGCTGCAGCCACCAGCCCTCAGCTGTATCTTGTGTTGTGACTTGAATACGTTCTGCCGTTTCCTGCTGAAAGCGCTGTCCCAGCCACGCTGCCTCTGAGAGAGCCAAACAGGGAAAGTTCAGTGTCTAGGTCTCACGTCTCCTCTGGAAGAAGACTGCATTCTGTCTGATTAGTTATTTATTCACTGCGCTGTTAGCTGGCTTTGGGGGCAGTCGTCTCCTGAAGTGGCTCACTTTGGGAAAGAGTCAGGGCCGGCTGCCGGGCTTGCAAACTACAAAGCAAAGGCACACAAGGGAGGGCGAGTGGAGGAAGGAGGGAGATTGGTTCATCAGGAATGCGGTGCGGAACTAGAAGCCAGTATTTCTATCCAGATCAGGCTGGACTGAACTTCCCAGCGCTGCTCTTCCTTGAATAGCAATTGGTGCCTCTTGTTTCTCTCACCAACCGTTGGTTCTCCTGATATCTAAAGGGGACCACAGGCTGTTGGAGGAGCCAAGTCTTCCTTTGGACAGGGAGTGGGGAAAGGAGTTCTCTGCAAATGCTCCTTCTCTGAGTGATGGAGTTGTTTATTCTCTTTCTTAGATTTGTCTGCTGCCCAGGTGGCAAATGTCCAGTCATAAAGCCAAACAATAACTGTACCCAAATAATACAAGTGTTTAATAATAATTAAGCATTAAGAAAATTTAGGAAACATTAGGAAAAGAGCGAAACATGAATTGAGAAGGCAGGAGCAGAAGTGATCAAGCAATAGAGATTAAATGCCTGCAGAAAGAGGAAGCTCTTAACCTGCATGCAGGGAAGAGCCCAGGCAGATCTTGCTGGGAAGGGCGTTCCATAGATGGCGGGGGGGGGGGGGCATGGCGGAGAAGACTCTTCTAATGGTCATGCCATGGTGGGTGGCAGAACTTGGGGAAGAGTCTCTGAAGGCAATCTCAGTGGTCAGGCAGGAATGTGTTGGAGAAGGTGCTCCTTCAGGTGGACTGGTCCAGGCTTTGCCATACTTTGTTAGAGGCTCAGTTGGTCTCTTATTTGTCCTGATGTTACTGCTGGGAAGCAGGGCCTTAGCTGGAGAAGGCTTGCTGAGCCTGGTTTGCTGTGATTATTATTTTATTTACTGCATTTATGGGCTGTTGTTTATATTTGTCTATATGTTGTTAAATTTATTTATGTTACCGAATTTGCTGCATTTTTGTCCCACATCAATAACAAGAGATGAGGCAGGGGAAGAGAGATGCTCTGA